AACACTTGGAATTAATTTCCTTTAAGGTACCTAAATTCTAACTCTTCTGCTTTGTGTTGAACTCTATTAATGCCACTAAATACAGGAATTGCAAGGGGTTTCAGTAATGTTTCTGTTAAGCAAATTCATCACAGTTTTCATTAATGATGTACAATTAGAATCTCTATATGTATTACAGTGCCAGTGTATACAGCAAAAGTATAAAAGTGTAACAGAGTGATACTCACTCTCTATTGTCAAAACCCGCCACGCAGCTTATAGAAGTACCAGTGCCCTTATTAATTTTCTTCCAATACCAGTTGTGAATTAATTCAATAACAAAAACTCCAAAGCTCAAGATATTTCCAGAAACAAGCACAACAAATGCTGGAGTCAAATGAGAAACAGAAAAGATGACAAACATGTTACTCTCTTCCTTTAATCTGTCTCTGCCCCTTAAAGAGGCTTCATGCTTCAGTTGTGACGAGTGTATTTCCAGAACCCCAGCTTCCAAACTCCGTCTTATGAGCACATTGAATATATCCAAAAATGGATTTCCTTTTTTAAAAATAATTGATATACCCCCAGAAATGATGTTTTCGTCAAATGAGCACATTACACTACTTAGATCTGCAATCCCCACTTCACTGGCAACATAAGAACTGTACTCTACAGGCATCACTGTAGCTCTGTCAAGCTGAGTTATCATTTGATGAACACATTTTTGAAAATCATGGCAGTCTTTCCTTGGTTCCTTACGATGATGAAATTTCAAGAATTCAGGATATACTATTCCTTGCAGAATATTGTCCCAACCCGAATGATAACCATAGGCTATGTCTGAATTTAGGAGTTCATCAAATGTTTTAATCTCCTTTCCAGCTTCTGGTTCCACCAGATAAGAGACAAAGAACGCTTGGAAAACAGTGCTCATAGCAAAGCAGTAAGAAACATAGATAAAAAAGAAAGCCCTCAGCTTTGAAGTAGTGGGCAGCTGTGTAACAGACACGCCCATGAAGACAGCCCAGGCATTGTAGAAACAGAGTGATATGGACTTGTAAATTTCTAACTCCTTAAATGTGGATACGTGGGGACCATTTGCTACAAACCAGAACACAGAAGTGGTTAGAACGAACACGAGACCCATTGTCAACCACACAGATAATGAGAAAGTTGTCATTATCTTTTCCATTCCAGGAATAGGTTTCGGACAAGGGACAAGCATCTTAA